CATTTAGAATTTTAAAGGTACAAAGTGACTTGTATGTATTTACATTACTACAAGTATCTACAAACTTGCATAGTTTATTTTAGAGCTTACATTAATGAGACAAATGTTTTATTCTGTTGATGATTACCTGATATAAAGCTAAACATTTGCTAGTCCATAAAAGTCATGTCTAATTGACAGTGTTCAAAGCAAAGTATCAGTATGATGTTGGCATATGAGCTAGTTAGGTTGTGATTAGTTATTATCTATTCAATATGCTTACCACAATGATAACTGTGATAGTTAGCTACTAACTAAAGATGTAGATACTAATGTGCTGTTTTGATTGTGATTAAATATCTAGTGCCATATGAGTGTGATAAAGGAGTGTGGTTCAAACTCGTCATGTTTTAGTTACCCCAAGATTACCAGAAAGCTAATGTTCAAAGTATTTTGCAAATAAGTGAAAGCAAGCAGACAAATAGGATGTTCCATTGTTCAATTTGTTTGTTCTAAAGAGGGTTTTAAAAATGTTAAGCAAGTGTAAGATTTCAAAATTGTTATTTAATAAATGATCAATACTTCTTGTACAAAGTCATGAAACAAAATGCATTTACCTTTATTTATTTCAAGTGACAAAATCAATTCTCTTAGCTAGAATTTACAACATGAGAAATTTTATATCAAATCACATTCAGTAAAATAATTTTCACACTTCATTTGACAAGATCAACATTCGCTGCTTTGAATCATCTCAAACCTGTTAACAAAAAAAAGGTCAGCGTTACATAAAGACTTCATGCATTTCATCTTAGTGTTAATTAGAGAGTTGGTGCTTCTACTTACACCATTGAAGAGGCCACTGGTTTTGGGATCTATTCACGTTGGCTGATTGGTTGATAGTTGACAGTTCCATACCTGGGCAGAGCAAAAGATTTGTTTCGTAAAAATATGAGCGCATGAATTAAACTAATTCAAAATACACTTCTTTTACTGATCACACAATAGAGGGAGAAAGGCGTGCAAACAAAGTAAAAGTGAAACTCATCCAAGTTCAGAGTTAAACAGAATAATTTTGCAGGGTAACTTGTTGATCTTCTTTTTAATAAGATCCAATGTCTTTTTTAACTTAAAAGACAACATAATTCAACATGGTAGCATTTAAAATTTTTAAAACATCACACAGCAAGTTGCAATCTGTTCTAGAGAGTTTGAAACATACTTTCAGGGTATAGGATATGTGATAGTAACGAGATCAAGTTAAGTTAAACTGAAACTGAAACTGAAACTGAAAAGTTACAAAGACCAACAGGGACTCACCGGGTAAAACAGTCGATTACGTAGCCGCACTAGATCTTCGGGTTATTTGTACCGCTCCCACCTCCAACAACTACAAAGGGTCCCACAACAACATTACTCCACTGCTGTACGCCCCTCCCCCCCCCTTCGCAGCAGTTGTGTGGAGTTACCCCGCGCTCCGAGCAGGAGTCGTGTAGGCCACCTCTCACAGCACGGGGGGATATGGGTTGCATACGTGGCAGGCGTCCCGCTTATCATGCGGCATCACAAACGTTTTAAAGGAGTAAAGCAAAATTGGAATTTATCACGGACAATAACGGGGAATGATAGGGAATACATGAAATCATCGAGTTCACGGTTAATCAATGGAAATGATCGGGAATCAATGGAAAATCACCAGGAATCACCGGGAATCATCGGGAATCATCGGGAATCATCGGGAATCACCGGGAATCACCGGGAATCACCGGGAATCACCGGGAATCACTGGGAATCACTGGGAATCACGGGAATCACGGGAATCAACGGGAATCAACGGGAATCAACGGGAATCACCGGGAATCACGGGAATCAACGGGAATCAGTTCTTTCGGGAATCATGTGTACACTTAAAATCGGAGTTATTGCCCCCTCGCTTCGCGATATCTAACGCAACACTGTTACGTTGCGACGCGCCTGGCGCACACCCGAGACGGGTGAATAAAGCATTCCGGTAAAGCTGAAATGCAAAAAACTGCGGTGAAGAAGAAAACGGAAGTCACCTTGTTAAAGCATAGCGATTTATTTCCGTTTTCTTCTTCCCCGCATTCTTCTGCATTTCAGCTTTACCGGAATGCTTTATAGGAGTGTATACACACTTTTATGATACAGAGACTTTTCTACGGTTGAATAAACTAGTGTTATTGGCTGAGCGATTAGCGAAGCCCATTACTCCACTGACCGGAAAAGTTTCATTCTGTTTGTCTGT